AGTCAAGCAGCCCTGTCAGCCTGGCACAGCCCAGATTCTGCCACCAGGCTGGTGTCCGAATCCTAGTCAGCCTGGATCAGCCCCTTCCTACCTTCCTTCCTTCCTTCCTTCCTTCCTTCCTTCCTTCCTTCCTTCCTTCCTTCCATCCATCCCTTCATGTTTAAAAAGGTAAAAGGAAGCACTCTGTTGGAGCTGATATGAAGTGATCATTTAAGGAAAGTAAAAGAGCCTGCAACACAGACAAACCCCACATTTCAGTATAAGGGGAAAAGGTTAGTTCAGTGATCCCTATAACTGACATCAGAATCTGGAAGACTTCAAAAACTTTTTAAGAAATGTGAAGTCTTTATTACTGTAGTATCAGGAAGACCAATAACTGATGCTAATAGGAGATTCTGCAAGTTGATCAAGTGTTGGGGGAGGGGGGAGAAAACTTTGACTTTGGCTAAGATACATTCTAATTCCAGTCATTTATGTAAACTGCTTCCCATTTAAGCCTCATTTCTATGAATGAGGATGATGACAATTCAGACTGAGTGATTTGGGATGTATTCATTTTCTAAATCTTATTTCATCCCAGCAACTAATTCTCAACATGTGCTAGGGACTCTGGGGTTATAGTTTATGTTGCTTTGAGCAACAGAAGTTAGGTTTCCCATCCTGTGTAGCAACTGGCAGGAACCTCAGCCTTGAGTCTGAGTGAGTAGAACACACTTCAGTTTGCTTTGTTGGGAATCAAAAGCTGAGACCAGAAAAAGGACTCAGAGCCATGAGCCTAGTTAGGATTCCCTTGATCCTGGTGCTGATTCAGTACAGATGTCTGGAGATTGGAAAGAGGACAGTGGGCAGGACACTTGCCTTGCATGTGACCGACCTAGTTCAATCCCTGACACCACATTTGGTCCTCCAAACCCCAGTCAGGGGTCATTTCTGAGTACTACCAGGTATGACCAAAAGAGAAAAAGAAAATGTTTGGATCTTCCAAGTGAGTGGAGAAGATGGGATAGACTGGAGGCATAATTAGGTGATTGATTTGCTCTCTACAAGGGAAATGAGAGAATGAGATGACATTCACATTCTAAGTTTGGATTGTGACCTCATCATAAATTGGGACCGAATGCCCAGGAAAGGGAAGGAGGTCAACTTTGTTTTGGACTCACTGAGGTCAAACACCTGTGGAATAGCCACTGGAGACATCTCTAAAGCAATTAGATATTTCAATCAGAAATTTGGGCAGGAAGTGAAGACTGGAAATAAGGGTATTTCATATGCATATGTAGAAGTTGAAATCCAAAGAGCAAGATGAGTGTGGGCAAGAAGAGCAGTGGGCTAGGAGTGGGTCCCTAGGAAAAGTCAGGGAAGAGATTGGCACGTACATGTGGACCCTCTGACCCAGATTTTTCAGGATCCCTCACTGTGGACGAGGGGTCTTTTTTTTTAATAATTAATCTTTTAATCTAATTTAATCTTTTTTCCATGATTGTTTGGGTGCTACACGTGGTGTTGCTCAGCAGTTACTCCCTGTTTAGTTCTAGGAGTTGCTCCTTTTGGTGCTCAGGATCAAACCCAAGCCTCCACACAAAGCATGCCTCAGCCTGTTGAGCTTATCTCCCCAGCCCCAAGATACTGTTCTTTAAAGGAGAGAGTCGAATTTGGGTGGATGAGACTCAATCCCAGGTCTTTTTCAACTGATCAATGCAGAAGAAACTAACAAAAGGAAATTTGGTTCCAATCTCTTGTTCTTTGTAAGAAAATTACTTATAATTGTGTCCTTATTTATGATCTACCGAGACATGTTAGGAGACTGCGCACGAGTTCTTGGTATTTGAACCTCCTCTCCTATCACTGCCTTTCCCCCTGCAAAGCATCTGGATTTCCCAGTGCTGTGTCTACACAGGGTGCTTCTGAAAATGGCAGCTCATGGGCCAGATCCAGTCAGCTGCCGGTTTTTGTAAATAAAGTTTTATTGGAACACAGCCATGCCCACTCATTTACACATTTCTCTGGCTTCATTCCCAGTACTATGGCAAACTTGGGTAGTTTAGTTATGACAGAAGAAGCAGAAGTGTGCCAGCAAGTGTTCCTTGCATGGCTCCCACTGGGTCTGGAGAGCCTGTTTGGGATTCAACTGTGTACACACCATACAGAGCCCAGTGTTTTGTTTATTTTTGTTTCACACAATATGGTGAGGATGAATCCTCATGGACACATGCAGGTTTATCCCAGGTCTTCTCCTCAAGTGCAGATGTAACTAATCAGTGACTCACTTCAGAGAACATTCTTAACCCATAAGGAAGTTCTTCTGGGAGGTGCCTTTAAAATAGACAACCATTGCTTCCAAAATGGTTTTACAGGATTGCTCTTCAAGCCCGTGTTCTCCCTTGAACGTGTTTTGCTTGCCTATTTCCACTCTGAAGAAGCCTCTCTCTGTCTCTCTCTCCTCTCTCTCTCTCTCTCTCTCTCTGTTTTAAATGTAGGAGTACTGCTATTTATTCAGCTATTGATTAAGATGGTTGAATTGGGCATGAACTCCACATTACTTTTTTTTAATGAATCACCATGAGATACAGTTACAAAACTTTCATGATCGAGATTCAGCTGTACAATAATCGAACACCCATCCCTCCACCAGTGCACTCTTTCCACCACCAGTGTCCCCAGTATATCCCCCCCCCCCCGATCCCAGTCTTCTCTCTGCCTCTATGGCAGGCAATTTCCCCAATACACTCTCTCTCTCTCTCTCTCTCTCTCTCTCTCTCTCTCTCTCTCTCTCTCTCTCTCTCTCCTTTTGGGCATTATGTTTTGCTCGAATTTTCCCACCACCATTCAAGCCTGCCTGCCAGGGGCAGATTCTAGATCATTTATTGTCCCTTGCTCATTTTGAAAATCATGGCTGTCACGGTCACATGCTTCTGGAATCCCAGATTGTAAATGGTTGGGTTCCAGAGACATTTCTGTAGGGTACTAATCCATTTTGGGATTCAACTGGGCATCTCTGGACCAGGGCTGTTGGTGTGCTAAGATGGCACCCGCCCAGAGGCACATTGTGGGTGTGACAGCCAGGCCGACGAGTGTATGGGAAGTGGGGGAGGGATAGCCTGGCATCTCTGCTGCTATGCGGCCTGGAGGTTTAGTCCTGGAACCCGCATACCTGGACCTTGCTTGTGGAAGCTCTTGGTTACCAGGATTCCATCTGGAACAGGCAGGGAGACTGCACCTGCTCCCTCTGGGGTGACCCAGTGAAATTGGCTCAGTATGGGGCCCAGAGAGATCTCCAACTCTTAGTGTCTTCCAGGACTCGCTGCTATGTCTCTGGCTTTTGATATCTTTCAAGATTTATTTATGGGTCTCTGAAGCAAGGCCAGTAAAAGAATTTACAGGGTGGCATTGAAGTTGGTTCGTCGGGGTGGCTGCCAGTGCTTCTATGTGTATTGGGAAGTGAGGGAAGGTATCCCACCCCAACTCAGTGATAGACTGGAGATTTCAGTCACAAAACCCTCATACCCGAATTTTCAGCAGGTTATATCTTGATGAGGTTTGTCCTGAGATGATGCAGTCAGGCTGGGGATATGACGGCAATTTTGGATGGAAGCAAGTGACTGCTGGGGACTCTGCTTGGGCAGGCACAGGCCAACCTGCCCCCCTCCAATTTACCCCAGTCTGTTCAGCCATGCATGGGTCTGAGATTAACTGTGGCGTTTGATCTCTTTCAAGATTTATTATGGGTCTCTGAAATAAGGTCAATAACTGAGCTTGTATAGCTGAGCTGGAGGTGATTTGTGGGCATGGCTCCCACATATGTAACTTTTGGCCATTTAATTTCTTGGTAAACTTAGTCCCAAGTTTTTGGGGTTCAGCCAAAAGCAAAGTGACAATTTGGGGGTGTCAGAAAGCCTGAAAACACCATCATCAGGCTGCTGATGCACTCACCCTGCAGGTACAGGTTGACTTGTTGGTGGCACCATATGCACCCCCTCCCCACCCCGCCATTATCTCTTGAACACACTTCTCCCTTTCTCTCCCCTCACACCTAAAGAAGTTTCAATAAAAACTACCTTGCTTCATCAAAAAAAAAATTATTTTACATCCCCCCACTCACACCGTAAGTCAGATTCTTTTCATTTCTAAAAGCCAAATAGCTAATTCCTGTGATGACATGAGGCTAACGCTAAAAAATTAGGGAAATTCTTAATCTCTCTATACCTCTCCTACCTCTGTGGGGTATTTGCACCGCTACTCTCACCCTCATTTTTTGGCTTTTGGGGGTGGGGGGTCACACGTGGCAGTCCTCAAAACTTACTCCTAGCTCTGTGCTCAGGGATCACTCCTGGAGGGCTCTGGAGACCATATGGGGTGTTGGGAATCCAACTGGGTTGGCCATGTTCAAAGCCAGCACCCTACCCTCTGTACCCTTTTCTTCTTTCTGAAGATGACTCTCTTAGTTCCTGAGGAATACTCTGTTAAATATGTTGTTAAAGTAGCAGAAATGGCTTACCATTAGCAGAAATCTCCTTCTCACAGTGGCTGGGAAGTCTGAGCTCAAGGCTCTGGCAGATTCAGTGTCTAAAACACTTCCTGGTTCATAGCCAAAGATCTCATCAAAGTGTCCTGACATGGCAAAAGGGGAGAAAAATCAATGGAGCTTGTGTAGGTGTGTCTGAATGTATGTGTATGGGTGTGGGTAAGTGGATGCATGTAGGAGGGGCAGGTTCTCTTTTTTTTTTTTCTTTTTTTCCTAGATTGTTGATAGTGTCAGGGATTAAATTTAGGATCTCACACATGCGAAACAAAAGTGCTCCACTGTTGAACTACATCCCTGGCCTTTTGAGTCTCTTTTATAAAGACTTGAATCCACTCATGAAGTTTCTCTCCTCATGCCTAATTATCTCCACAATGCCCTACCTGTTAATATTGCAGAGCAGATTAGGGTTCAAAATATGAGTGCATCATTCTATAGCAGTGGGATTTACTGGGTTTTATTTTTCCCATCTGCCTTTCAGTCTTGAACTCATCAGGATGTGAAGGTAAATCAAGATTGATGTTCCTTTTCACCTCAGGTAGGCAATTTATATCTCCACGGACCTCTTGATGGCATTTGGATCTCTAGAACTTTGCCCAGAGGGGGATAATCCCTCCCCAAACATGCTAAAGTATGCAAGTAAACTTGTAAGGAATGCAGGACCTATACTTCAGTTTACCTTATTTCTTATTCTATTTGGTGTCCCACAACTCTCAATATTAGGTATAGATAACACGGAAATGCTTTAAAAAAAAGGGGGGGATCAGAGAAATAGTTCAAAGAGGTAAGACACTTACCTTGCACGCAGCTGACCCACTTTGATCCCTGGAACCACAAATGGTCCCCTGAGCACCACCAGGTGTGACCCCAAAACTGAAAGAAAAAAAAAACATTAAAAAAGTGAAAGTAATGCAAGAAAATATTCCCAGTGATCAGACTCATCTTTGGGCCCAGCTTTCTTTCTGGCATGTGGTAGGTACCCAGTGAATTTTGATTAAACTGAATCAATTTTCTCTTTATTTAAACCAAAATTTCTCTTTCTTTTATAGAATGAAGAAATTTAAATGTTGTTTTAAATACCTCCTACAGCAGAAAATTTTCATCCTGTTTTTAACCCTCTGGCTGTTCTCCTTGCTGAAGCTTCTCAATGTGGGAAGATTCCTCTTCCCTCAAAAGGGCATTTACTTGGTTGAACATTCTCTAAGTACCTCACCTTTTGTAAGAAACAGATACACCCATATGAAGGATGAAGCTGGGTATGAAATTAATTGTTCTGGTGTTTATGAACAGGAGCCTTTGGAAATTGGCAAAAGTCTGGAAATAAGAAGGAGAGACATCATTGACTTGGATGATGATGATGTTATGGCTGTGACCAGTAACTGTGACATTTATCAAGCTCTAAGAAGTTACCATCAGAAGCTTGTTTCAAAGGAGGAGGAGAAGTTCCCAATAGCCTATTCTCTTGTTGTTCACAAAGATGCAATTATGGTGGAAAGGCTGCTCCATGCCATATACAACCGGCACAATATTTACTGCATCCATTATGACCTCAAGTCACCTGATGCCTTCAAAGTTGCCATGAACAATTTAGCCAATTGCTTCACCAACGTTTTTATTGCCTCAAAACTAGAGACTGTGCAATATGCACACATTTCCAGGCTACAGGCTGATTTAAATTGCTTGTCAGACCTTCTCAAATCTTCAGTTCAATGGAAATATGTCATCAATCTGTGCGGGCAAGATTTTCCTTTGAAGTCAAACTTTGAATTAGTGTCAGAGCTGAAGAAACTGAATGGAGCAAGTATGTTAGAGACAGTGACACCCCCTAGAAGTAAAGTGCAAAGATTCATGTATCACCATGAACTCAGAGAAATACCCAATGAGCACGTGAAGCTACCGGTAAGGACAAACATCTCCAAGGAAGCACCTCCTCATAACATTGAGATTTTTGTTGGAAGTGCTTATTTTGTTTTAAGTAGAGCATTTGTTAAGTATATTTTCAACAGTTCCCTTGTTAAAGACTTTTTTGCCTGGTCTAAAGATACATACTCGCCTGATGAGCATTTTTGGGCTACCTTAATTCGGCTACCAGGAGTACCTGGAGAAATTTCTAGGTTAGCTGACGATGTATCTGACTTACAAAGTAAAACCCGCCTTGTCAAATGGAATTATTATGAAGGCCTTTTCTATCCCAAATGCACTGGTTCTCACCTCCGGAGTGTGTGTATCTATGGGGCAGCAGAGTTAAGGTGGCTTATAAAAGACGGACATTGGTTTGCCAATAAATTTGATTCTAAGGTGGACCCCATACTAATTAAATGCTTGGCAGAAAAGCTTGAAGAGCAACAGAGAGAGTGGATCGCTCTGTCTTCAGAAATGTTATTTATGGATAAAACTCCCACAATCACACCGTTACATTAAATCATGTTGGAACTAAGGTATCTGATAAAGGGAGTTATGGAATTAAGCATGGAGGTGAATACTGCACCATGCCCAGTACTATTTGCACTTAACTTTGTCATACTTTGAAAGTGATCTAATATTCAGCACACAGTGGAGAGTGACATGATCTTTGGAATTAGCCTGATGTTGAGTGGAGTTTTTTGTTTCTTTGCTTTTGCTTGTAATTTCACTGAGATAAATCAGAGGTCTTAAACATTCAAAGATCTTAATCATTCAATCATCAGGTATTTGTTGAGCTCCTAATGTATGCCAGGCACTATGTTAGGAACTTAGGGCTAAGTAGAATTTAGGACTCCTTAAACTCGAGGACTTAAACCCAAGATATAATGAATTAGACAGTGCCTTCAAGAAACTGTAGCTTACCGTCATTGTACAACAGGCTAAATTCTCCACATAACTATCAGGATTCTACTGAAGAAGCTTGGAGTATGTAGTGATGATAAGCATATAAGCCTCTCACTTCAGAATAATACTTAAGCACAAGAACCACCATCTGCTTTTCTCTTAGATCATTTCTCTAGACTCAGCTATTAGAATAATAGGAGAGACCCCCCCCCCCCCCACTACCTCAGGAAAGCTCAAAGAATTATCCAGATGCAAAAGCATAATTTAACTTTTGGTACATGTCTCATGTAATCCTAAATCAGGAGACTGTTGGTTGGGCGTTTAGAGTGTGTGGAAGTTAGGGAGGGCTTGGGAGAGGGGACAGGGTGTGTCAGGAGGTACCTAAAAGGATGAGTGTTGCATCTTGACACACAATGGTGTCATGAATGGGTTCCTTTTTAATTCACCTCTTTCTTGACAATGCACTTAATGATTATAAAGAACATATTAAGTTCAGTGTCACACTGTAGAATATTGAAATTAAGTCAGTTCAGAGATTATCATTATATGTATATCTTTGTAAATGAGTATAAATTTTATTTATGATGCTATCAAGCTAGAGGTGACTAGATTTCCTTGAAAAGGTTATGTGAAATATGACAATTTTCTGAATTATTACTAAAGATTTTTTTCTTCTCCAGCAACTAAGTGAAATCCAAATTTAAGATTATAAGAGCTCTGAGTTGGGTTTGTTTTTATTTTTGTTTTCTCATCCTCTCAGCCTGTGTCTGGAGAGAAAAGACTACTTCCCTTAGGTTAGATAAAGAATATTCATTAATGATATTCTATAATATCCTCACCTTAGAAAATGACCTATTGAATCAAATATGTATTCAGTGGGAGAAGTTCCAGGGTACAAACCCAGGACCTTATACATGTGAAGCACGTGGCCTACTACTAAGCTAGATCCTGACTCCTTACCCAGATTTTACTGTAATTTATTGTACTGAAAGTGAAATGGGGCAGCAGTGGGGTTCTGCGGATAGAGTAAAATATTTTTATTAGCCTCTTGGGAAATTCTCAGACTTTTAAATCTTTCTTGACATATTTCAACCTCAGCCATGGTGACTACAGAGGGTAGTCTATATAATTACTATATAATTCTCAAGACCAAGACTGAAGTATGTGAACACTTTTGTAATATTTGTATTCCACCCGTGAAATGCACTTTGCTTGTCTTAAAAAGTTTATAATGCTAATGGTCATGTAATGCCTCTTCTCTCCCTTTTTTCTCTTGAGCTCATTTCCCCCCTTTTTTTTCTCTTCCCTCATTGATTACATGTTCAGAAAACAACCATGACCTAGCCAGTGCTCTTATAAATAACTGTGTTGGACAGAACCAAGTTCTTTAGATGCTCACCTATTCATGAGTGTGTGTGACCATGACAAACAAGGTCACTGGTCTCAGCCTATGTTCCTGGGTCCTAGAGGTCTGTCCATACTTCCTCACAAAAATTTTCTGAGAATCTATTGAAATCACATTTGAAGTGGCTTGAGAGCAGGAATGAACTATTAAAATGTCTATGTGTCATCTTTTTAAAGGCAAACATAGATCCCATCCTATTGTGAGACTAAATCATTTTCCCTTGCTGGAAAGTCTTTCAAATATAGAGACAAGGCCCAATGGTGGGACTGAGTTGTTGAACAGAAGGATTCCAGGTATGAAGGGAGACCAGGTTTGGGGTTTTTTCTAAGACAATGGCATGAGCAAATTGGTCCTATTGGTTACATAGGGAGTGAGAGAATGACTTTTTTCTATCACCCTGGTGGATGTTGATGCTGGCACATACCACCAGTGGCTCACACTTGGATGCAACTTAATTAACACAAATCACAGCTCTGGAATCGATGTGTTAAAAACACAAAATCTTTTTGAAGTCTTAGTTTCTTTGCCTTTGTAAGAAATATAAATGCTGAAACATAATTGTCGAACCTCCTGGTGAGAAATGAATTTTGTCTTGTGTAGTGGGAAAATTTCCTGTTGTTGATCAATTGAGTAGTTAAAAAACCCACAGAACATGAACAACTGGCAGTGCCTTCTTTTGCTCTTTGATCCAGTTCTGGGTCCTCTATTCCCAACAGTTCAGGGAGCTTGTCAGATTCCCCTCCCTGGCCTCTCTTTTGCCTGAAACTCCCGTGGATTCCCCGCATGACTTCAATCCTCCTTCAAGCCAGACTCTTCCCTAAACAAATTTGGTATGATTTTCTCTGACCTTATAATGGTCCATGGTTTGTGTTTTTATTATATTTGCATAGTATTTATTGAATCTAGACTCTATACTTGATGGTAAGCCCAACACTTCAAAATTATATGAAATAATTAAAATTGTGTGATATAATATTAATAAAGCCACCAAAATATACCTAAATGTACAATCTGCTAAAATAAAATATTTCAAGATCATTGTTGCTTATTATTTTTAATGTTTTGACTATTTTAGGCAATATATATACATAGGATGTTTAAATTTGAGCACTTTTTTTGCCTTCCAGAATGTGAATATTATACACACATGTGCGTACACAAGTTTTGACATATTTTATAGAGAACAAAAACGACAGTTTTCTTTGAGAGTGAAATGAGAACTGAATGTGCTCTCTGTATGTTATGTTTTTTGTTGTTAATGGTGAATGAGAGTTTTTTCTTAACACTTTCCATTTGTCTCTTCAAATTTACTACTTTCCTTTTTTGTCCATATTATTTTCAAAAAATAATCTTCAATTGTGTGAGTCATAGATTGGTGTTGCATTTTTGTATTAAATCTGAGTATAATTAACAAAATAATTGTGATAATTATACACATGTTTATAAGTTGCTGCTATATGTTATTTTTCCGGTATTGTAAAATAAAATGTGCTGCAAAAATCAATGCCGTTTAATTTGCAGTGTTTCCTTTCTCTGGTTGTTCTAATTTCTCAGAAAGACTCTTTTAGTTTCTAACACTTCACAGTATTTGAAGTTAATTTTCACATCTGAGTGAAAGAAATTCAGTGTGTATATTATACATAGAATTCAAGCACTTGAATTAGTGTTGCTTACTTGGAAAAGGTCTTCGAATATTGTAAATTCTCATCTTCATTTAGCTTGTTTTCTCCTCTGTGGGTGACTAGAACAAATATTCTTTTTTTTTTTTTTGCGTGCTTAACTTTATGGAAGCTTGTTGTGACTAGAAGAAGTTGGGCCCATTATCTCAGGTCCCTCAGTCCCTAGAAAATCAAGACTCTTTTTCTATGCAACACCAAGACAGCTTCGGTTGTCAGTCCCATGGACATGGAGTCCTCAGGTTTGGTTGGTAAGTACAAATGAGCTTCCCCTCATTAGAGAGTCTCCTCCTGGACAATACTTTTCCCAGCTCTACTAAGTTGGGTAGTATTTGGCATTGGTGATCCCCTCTCTCCATCTCTTAGAATACCCCCAATCATCCTTTCTAAAGCTGCCACAGACACCAGCCTCCCTAGCTGCCAAGGACTATGCATGTCGCAGTAGCACACCATGATCCATGTCCACAAGTAAGGCCATTTTCGGGATCTCCAACGATAAAAATTAACCTCTTGGGCTGAAGAGATAGTACTGGGGTTAAAGTGCTTGCCTTCTACATTGTTGACCCTGATTTAAATCCCACGTATGTTCCTCCCAAATACTACCAAGGCTTAGTCTTGAGCACAGAGCCAAGAATAACCTTTGAGCACTGCTAAGTGTGCTCTGACTCCCCCTCCCCCCCGTACCACCCAATTTAACCATATTTTATTTTATTTATTTATTTATTTATTTTGGCTTTTTGGGTCACACCCGGCGATGCACAGGGCTTACTTACTCCTGGCTTTGCACTCAGGAATTACTCCTGGCAGTGCTCAGGGTACTATATGGGATGCTGGGAATTGAACTCGGGTTGACTGCGAGCAAGGCAAACACTCTACCCACTGTACTATCTGTGTAAACACACAAAAAACCACTTCTTTTATTTTTTGGTTTTTGAATCATACCCAGTGGGATCAGGCGCTATTTCTGTCTGACAGGTTTGCTGAGGTGGTAGGCGGGAAGGATGTTGCTCACAGGACAGCTGGTGCTGGGGCTTAACACTGGCCTCTCCCACTTGTGCCAGCCAGTTGAGCTATCTTCCTGGCCCCTAACACCAGTTTTTTTTTTAAGTAAATTACCATGAAATATACAGTTACAAAGTTGTTCGTGATTGGGTTTCAGTCATACAATGTTCCAATACCCGTCCCTTCAGCAATGCACATTTCCCACCACCAATGTCCCCATTTTCCTTTCTGTCACCCCCTCACCCCCAGTCTGCCTCCTCTCTCTCTCTCTCTCTCTCTCTCTCTCTCTCTCTCTCTCTCTCTCTCTCAGTATTATGGTTGCAATAAAGGTACTGAAAGTTTATCATGTATATCCCTTTATCTACTTTCAGCACTCAATCCCGTCCAAAGTGATCATTTCCAGCTATCATCTAATATCAGTTTTTAACTTGGAGTTAATTCTAATTCTTGAGAACTACAAGGCAAAGTCACAGTAATTTTAGGGAAGAATTTGTACTTCTGAGACAGTGGTGATGGAGTGGAAAGAAACACAGCATCATACTAAAGACCCGTAGATCTGATTCTGAGATAAGCTGTTTTATATTTCAAAACAGTTTCCTGTAGCACTAGGGAGATAGCCCTGAATTCAATTCCTGACATTGCATGCCTCATCATGCCCCATCCCTACACTGCTGGGTGGAGCTCCTATAAAAAAAATTTTTTTTTCCACCTTGGTATCTACAAATCTCTGTCTAAACCGGGACAACCAGCTTCTAGTTTCATGAGACTGATAATGCGGAAACCCTGGAAAGAAGATTACAAATTTGCTCTCCGGGAAAAAAGTTCATCTGACTCTGCATAGCAAACAAGTAGGCTGTACTCCAATCACATGATCAGTGGGTCCACAAACATGAGTGTGGAAAAAGCACTGGATTGTTCCCCAGGCCCCAGGCTTGACCTTCCTGGGACCACGTAGGATCTCATCATGCAGACGGAAAAGCAGGAAAAAAGATTAAAAAGTCACTTTCACTGAACTGCGTACATTTATTCTACTTTTTGTTGTTGTTGTTGCTGTTGTTTCGTACAGAACAATAAAGAGAACTTACACAGAAACCACTTCTATTCCCAATCTGAACTTCCTAACAAAGGTTAGTTCTCTGGGTTCCCCTCTAATCTTGCTCATATTCATTACACTTTTTGTGTCCCCACTGCCAATATTTGCAATTCCTTTCCCAGGTTGCTACATGATCTTTATGGATATCTAGTAGCCGTTTCAAAATTCACTTTGCCTTTCCTTTGTTGTATGGCATTTGTATTGCCAGCTATTATATCTAGATAGTTATTGTGGCAACAAATATCTGTTCAATGGACAGCATTTACCATACATTTCTAGGAGAGGAATTACAATCCCGAAGAGAATGGATTTTTGTTTTCTTTTTACTGATTCCTTTTTAAAGTTACATATCACCCTCTCAAAGTATTATATAGGATGCTGGTTGGTGTAAATGAACCACAGCTGCTATGTAAAATCAGCTGCATTTATTTATTAGGGAAAATGGCTATTCTGGATTCTCCAAGTAAGTAGAACATAGATATAGATATAGATATAGATAGATATAAATATGTAGATATAATTTTTTTCCCAGTGAATTTGTTTGTGTGGTCCATGCCAGCGGTGCTCTGGGGGCACTTCTGACTAAGACCTCTCGTATGAAAAGCTTGAACTCCAGACCACTGAGCTACCTCTCTGGCCCTGAATCAACCATTTGAAAAATGTATTTACTTTTTTCTTTCTTTATATAAATAAAGTGACATTCTATTTTTCCCCTTTCTTACGTTGTTGTAATTTCTGGGGGTCTAACACTTTGTGGAGGTGTCGGGGATCACAGATGGCAGTGTGGCAGGGATTGCTCTGGGCATATATGGAGTGTCAGGGATTGAACTTGCAGCCCTAAAGTATCACTTCACTTGTCATCACTTGTCATCCCATTAATCTTCGACTTGCTCGAACGGGCGCCAGTAACATCTCCATTCTTCCCTGTCTCATGCTAGTGTAGCCCAGTGACATCTGATCGCTCCAGGAACACAAAGAGCCTCAAACCGTTTGCTCAGGGTTTTGACGAAGAAGTCTGACCATCTCATAGGTGGACGGCCACGTGTCCTTTTGACGTCCTGTGGAATCCAGTCAATAACAGCTCTAGTTCAGCCATTGTCTCTAAATCGCATTGCGCATTGCGTGTATGGCCCATCTGATTTTCAATGACTTGGAAAACGAGAAAACATCCCTGATTCTTGATTGTCAGCGAAGGTCGGAACTCCAGATTCCTTCTCTCACTTGAATGAAATGTGATATTACAAGCATAGCTCTTTCGACTCCTCTTTGGGAGACCCGAATAGCATTCTTGTCCTGTTTTCATAGGGCCCAGGTCTCTGAGGCTTATGTTAGTGCAGGAAGAAGGGTGGAGTCAAAAAGATGTGCCCGGAGCCAGAGGCTTTTTGTCCTCTTAACAACTTCTTCGAGGCTCTTGAAGGTGTTTCATGCCCCTCTCTTCCTCCTGCGCAGTTCTGGTGCCAAGTCGTTTGTCATGTTGAGTTCTCAACCAAGGTACATATAGCTGCTGCATTAGGAGATGTTCATTTCATTGAGAGCAAATGGAACGTCAGGGACTAGTTCGTTTTTCATGAACATAGTCTTGGTGAGATTCAGCTACAGTCCGACCTTTCCACATTCATGGTCGAAGTTGGTCAGCATTTGAAGCATTCAAAGTCTGCAGTCCTATGGTACAGGGAAATTTTCTACCACTGACCTATATCCCTTTAAGTTTTTGCCTAAAGCAATGGTGGAACCATTTCTTTAACAGATCAAAGGTGTTCAGTGTAAGTTATTCTTTAAGAATAAAGTTTAACTTTGAGCACTTACTCCACTTCAGAAGGGTCTGAAGCTTCTAATTCCTCCCAGTATTTATTCCTCTGGCCTTCCAGGGTTTTTTCATTCTGGGCAACAAACAGCTTATTTTCCAGCCTTTTTTTCCAAGGAGGAGTGAGAAGGGAGAAAAGGCAAAAGCTACTTTCCTCATACCATGAGACGGTGTGTGTGCAGGGACATGGAGACACACACACATACACACACACACACACACACACACACACACACACACACTCATTCACTCAGGCTGGGACCACTCAGACTCACCTAGGCCCTAACTGCATATCTTTGAGATTCGGGATTCAGGAGGACACAAGTACCCAGAGGAAATCCCTGGGGAGAACATGTCAGCCAAGCCCAGGACAGACTGGTGCTGACTGGAAATCTATTGTGCTGTTTTATCATCAATCTGATAACAAAACAATGTTTGGTGACATGATGCTATTTGATGAGATGCTGTGCAATGTTTTTCTAGAACAATATTCAAACTTCAATCTGCATCAGAATGACCTGGAGGGGTAGTTAAGGCACAGATATTCCCTCCAACTCCCTCTCTGGGCGATTGCTCCCTCATTAAGTAGGAGAGAAGGGGAGAAGTGACTCTGCAGTTCTAACAAAATCCCAGGGCACCGTGAGGCTGTTTGGGGCCACATTTTTTCCTGGAAATTACTTTTTTGTCATTATAAATGTTAGGCCAAGTTAGTTTTTAGAAAGCACAAATGTTACAATAAGCACACTGACCTCCAGATCCTAAAACACTGTGGTCAGAAGTCCAGAATTTCTATGCTCTGATTTCTAGATTGTCCACATTGCTGAAAGTAGAAGTCACTGTATTTTCTGAATGACTAGAGTGCATAGATTTCCAGAATCTGGAGTCCTCCGAGAACTATTCTCAATCACATTGTTGGGTTATCTGAAATT